CAAATAGATGAAATTCGGAAATTCTCTCATTCGTCTATTCTATTTTATGTTGACCATTTTTGTTTTTTTTCAATTACATTTATGTTATAATTTATTAAAATAATAAAATAACAGTTATGATTTGTTGCTCTTTTTAAAATTGTCTTAATTTTTTTTAACTCATTGATATTGTTTTTACAAACATTTTTAATAATATGGAAATAACGAGATTAAAACGATATCATCTTATAAAAACGGGATTAAAAAGCGTATCGTTCGGACTTCGGAGTTAGGCGGGACAACGGGACATGATCAAAAAAGGGACAATCACGTTTTAAACGGGATGTATGGTCACTCTACTATTACGTATACAATTTTTTAAAAATGTTTTCATGTTGGCACACTTTACCAAATGACTGTGTTGGTTCCCTGTACTATGCCGGCATCGTGGCGTTCTGTGATACGCGTTATCGGCGTATTTGTTGTCAACTAGCAAAGTAGCAATCGTCAATCGTCACAAATCAAGTAATCTTAGTGTACAGTGTACACAGTGTTATACAAATACACGAAGTCACAAATCCAAATTCATCGTAAATGATGTTTTTTTTTATTAATTTATAAGTTTTTTTTTGTTATCGATTGCCATTTGCTTAAGAGTTATATTATCTACCCCTATTTGATTTGTTGAGTAATTTTATTTTACAAAATGTTAATTAAATATTACGTGTGTTCAATATTAACGTTAAGCCTTGCTGCGTTTGCTAGTGCGTCCAAAGAAACGCTGGTACTACTCAACAATTTAGTCATCAAAGAGACACATTCCATTTTATTTAACACTCTCAAAGGTAAATTTTCATTTTATTTTAATTACGGTGGCTATTTGGCTATTGTGTTTCATATAATAACAAGACAATTATATTTCGGTTAAAAATATTAATTTGAAAAATCCCCTGGTGTCTTGCATTAGTAATATCATGCAAAATGACATGTTTTGTCAGAATATTTGTACTTTAATTAAACCATTTGTTAAGATTATATTTATATGATTGGAATTTTACAGTGAATGCTTCAAAATAGTAGATATTGTTTAAAATTTATTCTATGATATAAAGAACATAAGATTTTACTTTGCATGTTTTGGAAATTTTAGATATAAGTGTTATTTTTGAAATAATATATAATTTGTTTTAGTCTTTCAGGATTTTGTTCAGTAATTAAATATTAAAATATGATTCTTTCAAAATTTTGGTAACCATAATAAATAAGCTATTTTTGAATAATATATTTTAAGAAATTATAAAAAAAAATTGTTCGCATAATTAATAAGGTTTAGGTAATGTTATGGTGTTTTTTTCTAAAATATTCAGTATTATAAATCCTAACCACTTATATGTACTAAAATTGTTTTTTGAAAAAAAAAAATATAATACTAATTAGTTATATTTTTATTTAATCATTAGAAAGAGGATATCATCTGACTTTTAAATCAGCTGATGACCCTTCATTAGTTCTTTCTAAGTATGGAAAATACTTTTACGAAAATTTAATTATTTTTGCACCAACCGTACAAGAATTTGGTGGATCTCTTAACATTGAAACAATTACTCAATTCATTGACGACGGAGGTAAAATCTATTAACTATTGTGTAATCTTAATAATATAACAAGAATCTTTATGAATTTTAGGTAATGTTTTGTTTACTGGTGGTGTATCTACTGGTTCTGCTCTAAGAGAGTTGGCAGCTGAATGTGGTTTTGAAGTTACTGAGGAAAATTCATCCTTGATTGATCATTTGAATTTTGATGCCAGTGACTCAGGAAAAGTAAGAAATATTAGTTTTTAAAAATTTAGGTATTGATATTGACTTGAATGTCAGTTAAGTAAATCATTTAATATGATTGATCCTGGTTTTATTATGTTATGCAATTTAAATACTTGTTATGTATACAATTGAATTGGAAATATTTATTCTATAACCTGATAATTTGGTTGCACATCTAATTAAAATAATTTAAATGATTTAAACAAATTGGTCAGAGAAGTCAATTGAAACCTTATAATTTATTAGGACTAGGATTTATTCATTTATATGTAACAGTATGTTTTTTTGCAATTTCTGATTATTGCTTTTGTCAGTATTGTACACAAATCACTTTATGATGAGATATTTTGAATAAAATTAATATGATTGCATTTTTTGACTATAAATACACAAAAAATGTGTTTTATTATAAATGTTGTTACTATGTGTTTTAATCTTGACTGTATATATTGATGCTATTCAAAAATACCTATACAAGAACATGTTTAGGCCTAACAGAATATAATATAATCACATGTAATCTAATCATTTAGTTTTGAAAATTTAAAATGCTATTTAATTGTTTTGTGTAATACCTAAATTTAAATAGCTTGAATAGTTAAGAATATTAATTTATTAATTTTAAAACGTCTGGGGTTTTTTTTTTTTTTTTTTTATGTGTATATGTATATTTCATATTTTTTGACAAATATAATATTAATTGCATATTTTTAATAAATCAAATGAATATTTTACAATTTTTTATTGCATATAAATCCTAGCCCTACTTGTGATATAGAAAAAATATGTTTTGTAATTGATGAATAATTAAGTGTTTTTTTTTATCTGTTATCAAACTTAAAAATTTGAACTTCAACAATTATTATTTGATTTAGTTAAAATTTTTTAATGGTTCATTTAACTAAATATTTTAAAAAAAAGCTTATCTTTCTGTGTTAAAGTGATTTCTCATGGAATTTTTAAAAACTAGTAATGAATTAATTATAATTAGGATCGAACATAAAGTTTTTGCATGTACTAAAACATAGCAAAATGATGTATAAATATTAAATATGTTTTAGAATGTGGATAATAATTGAGATATGACATAAACATTTTTAAATCTTAGAGATTATTATGTTAGCTCATATGTGACTATAATATTGTTATACTTATTTTGCATATGAAAATTGCTTAGCACTAGTTTTAATTTTATTAATTAACTATTAACAATAAATAGTAATAATCTCAAGCCACTGTATATAACTTTGTGTATAAACATGTCAGATATATACCTATTTACAAAAATATGCAAAGGCCAATTATTAAGATATGAGCTAATTATTTAAGAATAATTGTCTACTTCAGTTTAACCTGGTTTAAAGATGAAATATTTTTCAAAAATATAAATTAATCTCATGTTTTAATTACAAAATTGTTTTTTAATTTAAATTTTTTTTATGTAAATTTTTTGATTATAAAAAAGGCAATATTAATAAGTGAGTATTTAATTGTTTTAAAAATAAAATTTAATGCACATGTTAATTTTTTTAGTGTATACTTATATGTTTTTAAAAGCATATTAATATATTATGTAGTTTATTTTAATATTTATAATATTAAAAGTCCCAAACCTTAATAATAATATATTTCAATATATTATTTTTCTTTGAATTTTAGAGCAAATAATGCTTTATAATATTTCAAAACAATTTAGTTGATTTATAAAGTTTATTAAAATTTATATCTTTAGGTAAAAAAAAAAAAATTATTTCAATTTGGTATTTCAGTTTTGCCCCAAATAACACTTATTAATTGTGCATTTATATTTATAGCATACTTTAGTCGTAACTAGTTCATCCAATTTAATTAAATCTGAAGAAATCGTTGGAAAGAGTAATGAAAAACCACTGTTATATGAAGGAACTACAGTGATTACAGATCCAAAAAATCCTTTAGTACTTCCTATTCTTCATGCTGAATCTACTGCATATTCATACAAGCCAGACCTTCCCATTAAAGATGTAAGTTAATTAAATTAAAATACTAGTTATCAACTATCCTATTATATTATTAAAATAATAAAAATATGCTGTTGTTTCTAGTATTCTTTAGGAACAGGTAAAGACTTATTACTAATTGCAGCTTTACAAGCAAGAAATAATGCCAGAGTTGTATTTTCTGGTTCTTTGTATTTCTTTTCTGATGTTGCCTTTAGGACCTCTGTACAAAAAGTTGTAAGTTTTTGTTTAATAAATATTTTAATTTAGTTGTCTTGATATAGATTTTATTATTATATTAGGATGGAAAAACATATAATATTTCTGGAAATCAAGAAGTTGCTACAAACATTGTTCTGTGGACATTAAAAGATAGAGGTATGATAAGAGTGAAGTCTGTAAACCATCATAAAGTGGGCGAGTCGTCACCTCCACCATCTTACACTATTATGGATATGGCTGTAATATTATTTAAATCAATAACTGTATTATAAGTTTTTAGAAATTAATTTTTAATTTTCTTTTTTATAGGTATTTATGGTAGAATTGGAACGTTGGGAAAATGGAAAATGGATCCCCCATGATGCTGATGATGTTCAAGTTGAATTTGTACGTATAGATCCGTTCTGGCGTGGAAATCTTAAGAATATGAAAAATGGCAAATACGAATTTACATTTAAAATACCAGATACATATGGAGTGTATCAATTCAAAGTGGAATACAACAGAATTGGATTTACTGCTATTAGAAGCTCAACTATGGTAAATAATATATTCATGTAATCAAGTATAATAAAATAACATTTGTTAAATGTATAAATACATTTTTATTGTAGGTGTCTGTTATTCCATTGGAACATACTCAGTATGAAAGATTTATCTTAAGTGCATATCCATATTATTCAAGTGCTTTTTCAATGATGTTTGGCGTATTTTTATTCAGTTTTGTCTTTCTGCACTATCGAGAAGATAAAGCAAAGGGAGAGTAATTCAGACTGTTTAATATTATATTGTTTAACATTACTCTTGATGGTGATAATAATGTTGTAAGTCTAAATTTAAATTATGTATTAATGAATGAATATGTAAATGTATCTATTTCAATTGAAAACAATACTCAGCACTAGCACTTACTACTGATTAAATTTTGTGATTTTTTTATTAAAACATCTTACTTATCCCATTAATTATGTTTTTATGATAATTCTATAAAAGTATCTACTCTTCAACACTCTTATATTTATTAAAATTCATTTAACAATTTTGTGCATACAGATTCAGACAAAGTTGGCACATAAACATACAAGATACAAATGTAAACATTTTAAATTAGGTACTAAACAAATCATCAATGCCGACGTCTAATTATGTGAACTCTCTTTGAGTCCCCTGACAGTTCTTCATTTTTTTCAAATGAATTTTTTCTCATACTTTTAAACTGTGAAATGTTGCATTGAGACATTTTTCTGGGACGATCTAAAATATAATGAACAACAGTTAAAATCTTAATAAGTACTGTACAAGCATTGTATTATTTTGAATATTAACTTGTGAGTTTTTGTGTGGATTCAGCCAATGACTCTCTTCGAGCATGTTTGGCCAAAGTTAAATCCGGCAGTGTTAGTCTTCTGGAACGGATGTATGCCTTTTCTTTTTGAATGAAAGATTTTTTCCAGTCTTGGAGCTGAAAAATAATTTCAAGTTTGGAACAAAATGGAATTCAACTTATGTGTTTGCTAAACATTTACCTTGTATCTCATAATGTATTGGATTCGCCAGAAGACAAGGAATGGTAGAAGCGAAGACACTGCAATTATCCACCAGTTATTTGCAATTCTGGAACTCACATTTTTCCAATCGACACCAAACATATAATTTCTGTCATTAGTATTATTGTTGCACTCTAACACAGCAGGCTGTGCATCGTTGTCGTTAGGCTTCCACGTTGATTCCGTGGAACTGACACCGTCGCATGGTTTATTCCCAAATAGTTTATTCACTTTTGCTGCTAGTGCTTGAATGTGCTTCTGAAAACACGAGCTACTTGCTACTAGTAAGCACAAGCACACAATGAAGGATTTTCCTACGTTAATTTTCATTTTGTCGTGTCAAACAACCACGACACTGTCTCGACACTTAAAATCAAAAGAAAAATTTAACGCGTTTCGATGGTCATTGATATATTTACTATTTACGTTAACATGTCAATTATGAATATTACCTTATCACCATAGTTATTATTTTTAATTTTATTTTGGTTTTACGCACCGTGATCGCCAATGATGGTTTCTAGTTTTTCAAACGCGTTTAAATAACTACGTACTTTCTCTGTAATGGCTCTGAAAAAGTATAAATATATGTAATATTGATTTTCGCACTCGTGCGCGTATTATGTTACAACCCCTCGTTGCCAGCCACTATTGTCGCACAGTTTAGGAAACGTGAATCATCGTCGGCGCTGGTACCTATGAACAAAAACGGTTTCGTTTTTTTTTTTTTTTGTGTAGTTTTTTCAAAACGTACTATATTTAACCAGGTGATGTGTGGTCTTGTAGTAAATATCGTTAACGAATTTTTTTTTTAAACGTTTGAACTTCACCACAGGTCGTTTTGTCCCGCATATACGAACAGTAAAATATTTGTACAAACATTAGATTGGTATAGACTGTACGCCATTGTTAGGGCACTGCATTCATTTAATTTAAAATCTAAAAATACGTACACAGTACATAGTGCAATATCATAATATTATACAGGATGTCACGGTGTTTATTTCTGTAAAATATTAACGAATCTTTTTACTCATATAAATAATATAAAACAATAGTTTTTTTTTGATCGATGTTATTATTGTACTAAAAAGGCAAATTTGTGAAGTAGGCACTTATTTTAGTTTACATATTTTACTCTTAACATAAAAAATAAAAATTTTTTCTAGAGAAAATATTATTGCCAATTTACAGGGTTATACTATATCACGTATGAAAATAATATTATTTCTGAAAATGTTAAGGCCTTGTTAGTTGTTAAAGACAGATGTGGGTATAATAAATAAGTGGTACCTAAAAAGTAGTGCCCGAAGGACACCTATGGCCTATTACAAATTTCTAATATACAATATTGAAAATGAAAATTTACATTTTAAAACCATCTTAATAAATTGCACTATTAAGATCAAACTAAACAACTTGTATATTTTTATGAACATTTTTCAAATTTTAAATTATATTAATCTTGATAGTTGATAGAAGATAAGAATAAGTTCAATATAATTTCCGATTATGGTAATAATTGTGATTATTTGTAACTTAATATTTGGTAGCTCGCTCAAAAATAATTTTAACTTAGTGGCATACAAAAAAAAAATTGATGGGCATCACTGGTATAAATGGTGTATAAATGTATAATATAATTAAAGTCGAGTGCTTCACTTGTGAAAAGACATAGAGAGACTGAGCACCTCAACTAAATTATTAGATATTCTAAACTGAATATATAATTTAAATTTGAAGGTAAGGGAATAGGGAATTACTTTTAAACTTTGAGCGGAGTGATGAATATATATTTTTTACAATGATGTGTGATTTTTTATGTATGCATACACAATATGTAGTTAAAAGAATGTTTTAATTTTAAATTTTGAGAGCGATTTCTGATTGGATTTAGTTTATAAAAATACATAGTATTTTCAACAATAATGGTGAAAACTCGTCAAAAAATTAAGAAAAACCACTAATTTTTCACATAAATCTATTATTATTTTTTTTGTTCTAACTTAAAAACGAATAGATGTAGATACCTGCTTAAAATATTTACAAAATAATTATGATAATACCTATTTCTTACATGTGGTTTAATTTACAAAATATTTTCAATTATTTTTAACTATTAATAGGCCTTTGAAAATTTTCATTTTTTTTTTATAAATGTCGATAAAAAATTCTTTTCTGGGTAAAAATATTTGAAAATGTATGACAATGTTTCACATAAGTCATAAGTCTTTCATTTATCAATTTAAAAAAATTAAGACATAGTTACAAAAGTAGTTTTTTATAGAAGTTTAAATTTAAAATTTTAACAAAATTTGTATAATCTTGAAAGTTTTCAAATTATTTTGTAGTTTTAAATTCATGAAAAAATTATTTTTATATTGGAGATTTGACTTAGCAGATTATCTGATTATTATTTTATTGTAATTCTAAAATGAATTACCATGGATATACTTGTAATTTTTACTAAATGTTTATGTGGTTATTTTATGTACTTATATCATAATATTTTCAAAATATTTTGATTTTTATGAATTATTTATAGGCATTTAAATTTTTTTTTTAGTTTTATTTTTATTAATGTCGATAACTCATTTTTTAGTCAATTATAAGTTAAAAAAATGAATACAAGATCCTATAAATAAGTTTTTCTTATGGATTTTTATTAATATTTAAAATACTCATGTACAATTTTTTTTTAAGCATTTAAGGTTTAATAAAAAATTCATCAAAATGACAATTTTTATAAATTGTTTTTTTAGTCGAAAATTCATAAGATGTGCAATTTTAGCCATAAAATTTTGCTTTAAAATTAAATAAAGTCCTCAAAAGTAGAAAATTCTGAAATAAAAAAATTATAACATTTTAAGCGTTTTACTTTTTTCATAGACATTTTTAGTTTAGATTTGAATAAAATTATATACACATATTTTAACTCTGAATAATGGTTTTTATTATTTTGTTATTGTTCAAAAAACTATTCAAAGGATATATAAAACTATAATGTGCTCGTATATTATTTTATTTTCTTCACACAATATATTTTCTAAAAGCAATGTTTTCAGTAAAAATAAATTTGATCTATTGTATTACTAATAGCAAAATAAACATCTTTATCTAATAGCAATATCAAAAAATATAACACGAAATATAATTGATTTTAAAGTAGCTCGTGATAATAATCAAACATAAACATTGACCGATCAAACGGAAATAATTTTTTTTTGGCATATGTGAAACCATTTCACAGTTCATAAGATCTTTAGATCTCGTGTATCAATCACCACATTACGTCAAATATGTTGGCAAGGTTAGTATATTTATTGTTTATACCGTTCAATGTATTTTGTTTATTCTTTTAAAATGTTATAGATGTGATGAAACGAAGTGTTATCTTATTCTTTACGTGTTTTCGTTATAGTTCTATTTTGAGACAGATTTTAGCTACTTCAGACAAAATGTATTATTTTTTTAAATATTACATATTATTATAAATATATATCAAGGCTATAGTTGAAGTTTAAAAGTTAGTATAATAATTTATAAAGTGTTTTTCATTTGTGGTATATAATATATGAGTGTATAAGGGGTTGTGTGGTAGAGAGAAATGCCTCCAATGTTTGGTGGTTTAAATAGGTAGAGACGCAAATGTTATTTTATATATTCGTATGTCTTCAGAGCATCTACTTCTAATATATTTCTTATCCACTTATAACTTATTGAATTTATAAGCACAGGTTATAGTTTAAGGGTGTAGGTTGGATGTGTAGAAACTTTAAGATATATTTTGTATAAGACACGAACAAAATTTCGTCAACAACCATTAGATTGCTTTTTTTCAAGAAAAAAAAACTGAAGGTTAGGGTAGATAAAATATTTTTTCGTCAGGCATGCAGTGTATTAAAATGCTTTTAAAATATTCAGATATTATATTATTTATAAAATGATTGGTCTAACCTTCTGCTATTTATTTTATCATAATTGTTCAGTTCTACGTCAATTTTTGATTACGTTTTCAAATCATTGTGATAGTCATTCTACTCTCTATATATAACATATAATATTATATATAACACTATGATATAGTTTAATATATATTTAAATAATCCAATAAAACCAAATAAAATAAAACATTATTCACAAATTAATTACATGACCGTGTTTGAATATCAACAAAATAGGTATCTCAAAATGATGATTTTTTTTTTCATTTTAAAATAACTTTGTAGTTTTTAATTAATAAAAGTTTTGTACAATTCAAATAAACACTTTTCTTAACATTATTAATTATTATTGTCCTTTATAAAGTAATTTAATAAATATCAATGTTAAAAATGGTTTCCGAAATATAAAATAACAAGATTAAAAATACTTGTGTTAAGTTAAAAATAAACAACTTCTAAATATATATTTAATCCAAAGATATGAATTATACGTTAGAAAATAAGTTTACTATTAATTTAACTTGAACAATGAACATGGTATTGTGTACGAGGATTTAATTGTGAATAAAATTACGAAATTATAAAATGAAATAACATAGTGCAGAGGTGGTCAATTTATGCTACCTACATATTATTTATTACGTTTTTGCACGATATGATTTTGAATAGCATGTTTTAATGTTTGCATTAATAGTAAATCTTTTAAAACAAAAACAAAAAAAAAATTATTTATGTAGTTTATATCAAAATAAAATAAACAAAATTATACCATATAATAAATTGTATTATATATAACTAATTAGGTAGGTATCTATCAACTATATATAATATACTATTACTACATTAATAAACATAATAAAGATTAAAATTATGTTTATGTTGCGTTCATGTTAGTTGTACATTACCAAATAAAAATTATTGTTGAAAATAAATTATAATCAAAACATGTCGCCAATACTATATATATATATATTTAATATCGAAAAAATATATTAACCATTCCTGAGTCCTGACTATTGGTATACAATGTTCGACTTGGATGTTTTAATTTCACGTAGGTGGCAAGACTATAAAAATATGTTTAGATGAAATTAAATAGGATCTGATAGTGATGGGTTTATAGTAAATTGGAAAGAATAGGTAAGTTAAAGATAGGGGGCGTGATATTATTATAGTTGCTGACAAAACTTTTAAAAAGTTGTTGCTGAAGGTTTACCAAGAAAATAAAATAAACGAGTCTTAGCAACTAAAGTAATAGGTATACAAAAATAAAAAATTAATATTGAAAATAAAGTTTGAATTTAGAATCAGTCAGCTAATGCATTTCAAAGAGGGATATTGTGGTGGAAAATTTAAAAATATGTAATTGGGAAGAGATAATTGATTGGGTTTGGATTAGGTTAAGAACAAGTAGGAAAGTGATCAAGAGGGAAGATAAACATAAAATTTATTAACCCGTAATTACATGCAATTGAGTAAAATTGTTGTATATTTTTAATTTTAATTTGGATACTTGGATGTTTACAAAAAAACAAATTACAATAAGTAATCGAGAAAAAAATACGAAGGCTGAAGAGAATGAAATAAAACCAGATTGGACCAATTTACAAGCTGACGGTAATTAATGTGTCGATGATGACTACTTATAAGTATTATTATTTATTATTA